AAGCAACTAAATTTTCCCAATAACTGCAAAAGGTTAAAACTTAAAACTATATGACCAAAAAGGGATAAAAACTTAAAAAGGACCTTGAAGTTGCTTGCATCCATTCTAAAACACAGTTGATGATTAACAAATTTTACATCAGTCCACCAGTATACAACTAATGAGGGGAAAGGGGATATGGAATTACCCTGAAAGAAGAGCTGCCAGGCTATCAACAACTAGCAACTTCACATTATGCTGGAAAAGAGAATCTCTAATTTGTTCTAATCTGAAAATAAGACAAAATGGCAAGACTATGAAAATACTCCGGCAAGTGGTCCCATAGCACAAAACAACTGAGGGGAAAGGGAGGCAATGAAAAAGAAACAGTTTCTGTTTGAGAAAATTCACTAAATAGGACTAAAACAAGGATAAAGTTCATAAATAGGATTATCATTGTTTTATTCCTAAAATATGACTCGTTCGCTCCTATTTTGGGAAGCTTTTTAATCAACTTCTTCTTTTAATAGGACTAACCAAGTCTTATTTGGGGAATAAAGCATACTTAGTCCTATTTTTTAATCTTGTGTATATTCCTGTCCTTTATTAAGCAACTTCTATTTCTATTTTTAGGTGAATAGTCAATTTTTTCCAATCCCCTCAAACGTTCAAAGCCAAGTATGTCATCAACTCTCAGGCAGGCAGAAGATGTGCCAAAACAGCTTCAAAGTTCAAACCTCTCTGTAAAGTCAGTAAGCGATGTTGGTCTGAGAACTATGATCCGCCCTGCCATCTGCAAGTTAAGTAAAAGCTTTGTTATATCATGAAATGCAATGTCTTCCACTACCTCATTAAAGACAATCAAGAGGTCACTCTAAATGAAGGCATCAATGCATCAATAGCTTTGTGTAATTATAGTATGGAAACAAACAATAAATTGCTTGGACATGGAAAAACTGAAAGAGAGCAACAACAAAAGCCTAAAGTTGTGAAATTGCTAAATTATATTAAAAAACATGAATACATTTTATTGACAAAAGAAAGAAAATATATACGAAACTTTTTAAAAATCATAACATTAATCATCTTAAGCAACTTTAGCCATAACATTTACTTTTAATCATACTTTTCCATTAGTAACCAACTCAGTTAACACAGCCAAATAAGTTAGGATTTGGTGAAAATAATATGGTTCATATGCTAAAAACAGCTGCTGCCAAAAGGCCATTAATTGTGTATTATGAAGAAATGGGAAAAGATTCAACTATTATGTACTAAACAAAACAATTTGTCCAATTATGACAACCTTGAAAAAAGAAACAAATGTATACTCCTTCAGTCCTGAATAATCTTCATGTTCAATCTTTGTGGTCAACTGAACTCTATTTTTATCTACACTTTTATAAATGAACGTTCATCATATTCAAATTCAGTTCTTGTGACTAATAGAAATTTTAGTGTTGTTTCTAAATATAAAAACTTTAACTATTAATTATAATTTCAATAGGGAAAATAACTTTAAATAATAGAGCTATAACTTGTCAACCAAAATCATGCAGACTATAATGATATGAAAGTATGCAACCATTTTGCGACTATTAATACGGTCATTTAACGATCAATAATCATTATGATCCCTGTGACAAGAATTGTTTGATAGGTTTATGCCAGTTTTTTATTAGTTAAATGATTGGACTTCTAGTTGGAACCATTTATATTACATCTACTAATAATTTGGGTATACAATAATATATAAATCTATAGCGTGTATTATTATTGGTCAATGGGCAATAGTTAGTATCACATATTCACGTAGTTATTTTCCTGTTCAAAAAGTGTTGAGGGGAATGAATTTAATGATCAATAAACATTGTAAAGCAAGAAGATTTATGGACGGAGAGAGCGCTATGCAGAGAACCTCTTGTGCCATGTTTTCCTTGTGAAATACTTCTGGGAAGCTATTCACTCCAATTTCTATCATCCTGAAACCAAATAATGGATAATTGATAAATAACAGTAAAATGATTGTATTAATACATGTATATTCCTCATTTCTGGGAGCTATTAAAACCATATCCAGGGAAAAACCTTTTAGAACTGAATTTGGATTCAGTATCAATGAATAAAACGTGACCATCTAAACCTCCATATGATAAAGGAAGTGCAGCAAGTAACGAGAGCTTGAGGCAAAACTACACATCAGAAACAAGAAAATGAGCTTCGAAGAACAATCTCGTGTTGGTCCCAAGTCCCAACATTCTTGGACTAGCAGAACGATAACCACATGGACCACCAACATGGACCACCAACATAGTTTTCAAAACGTAGGTAGCAAGAGAGTAAATGACAATACTAATACAGTAATACATATCCTTTCGTCACACTTATTCACTAACAAGAACAGAATTATATAAGCAATTACTCAAAAGTCAAAACATAAAGATATCTTGCCTGGGTTTTGCCTATCCCAGCCGGGCCCACAACTTCTGTAACAACACCAAATGGAATTCCACCGCACATGGCTGCGTCTAATCCTCTCAAACAAGTTGGAAGGTGGCCGGCAAAGCTCTCATTTTCTGTACGAAGTTCCAGAAGAGAAAGAGCCTAAAAATTGAAAACAGAAATCCGAGCATTAGCAGTTTCCCCGCAAACCACTATACAAAATGCACACAGATCCGGAGACATAATAAGATTACAGTTTGATATGGAGGACAAGCAATTTCACTGATGTGTCCAATTGCAGATATCACCTCGGACAGATTAAGGTCTAACAAATCCATCAATTCGAATTCAGTTAACGAAAGTGCATCCTGGAAAAAGGCATTAAAATGCCGATCAAATTGCGCATAGTGTACATTTCAGTCAACGAAAAATCCCCCGAAACTTCCACTGAATCGAGAACTTCTAATGAAGAAAGGCATAGTAGACAAGCGAGCGAAGGCACGAGTAGAAAATCAGAAGGGGGAGACGAACCTTGGCGGTGAGGATATTACGAGCGACGAATATATTGGATATTGACTTGGGAAGACCCATTTGGCTAATGAGCTTGTTCGCCATCTCTCTGAAGAAGACTCTGACAGGAGATGGAGAAGGATGGATCACAGGAGTTGGGTTTCCCGCCAGTACTGTTATTGCATAAAGCCATATAGCCCGGCTTCAACTTTTTAAATTCACTAATAAGGCCAAATGCCAAGAGGCCCCATTTTTATAAGGCAGATTGTATGGTACCCATAAGGTATGGTACCTTTGTCCACATGTACCAATCAGAATCATGCAGTTGAATTATTTAAATCTAAATTAAAAGGGATTTAATGATTTGGACCAATCAAATGCATGATAGGTACGGTACCCCATTTTTTAAATGGATACCGTACCTATCATGCATTTGATAGGTACGGTACCCATTTTTTAAATGGGTACCGGAGTTGCCACCTTTTTATAATGTGAAAGAAAAATATGCTATTTTTGTTCTAATGACTTTTTTCACCACACAAATAGCTCTTGATTTTATTAATAAAAAAAAATAGCTCTTAATTTTGTACGCTAAATTATATAACAATCAGAATAAATAATATTGGAATTACTTTTCTTAAAGAATTGGTTGAAGTTACTGTGGATTGTGTAATTTTTTATAACAATCTCTTAGTAATAACAAATTAACTTTTTATTTTTCTATACACAATTTGATCAGGTCATTAATGAAAATTATGAAACATCGTGTATAGTAATTTAATACGGAGTGTGTAATTTTGAAACAAACTTGAGGCCGTTTGCAGCGTTTGTAGTCAAAATGATCACCATTTTGTTGAAAACTCCATTACTCAAACGGGCCAAGATCGTCTTTCCTATGTTTTACGGCTTTACTTTCAAAAAAAAGTTTGCCAGTTTTACCTACTTATATTTCACTTCCTAATTTTACATACTTTTAACACTAAATTCATACTTTTGCATGCGATATTATGTACGGTGTGGGTGTTCGGTAGTTCGGTTTCATCGGATTCGATTTTATCTTTGGTGTTTAGTCGTTTTAATTTTTAGTCAGTCGGTTAAGAAAAGGTGAAACTCAGACACTAACTGCATAACTTGAGTCGGTTTTGGTCGGTTTGTATCAATTTCAGTAGATTTTAGCACGTTTTGATCCACTTTTGTTGGTCGGTTTTTTAACCGAAAAGTATAAACCGTAAAGGGAATCGCCAATGGGTTAGTCAGTCTTAGTCGTCGGTTTCGAGTTTCATTCGGCTTGATTTTAGTCAGTTCAGTATTAATTGGTTAATTTGCCCGTGGGTTTTGATTTTCCGCTTTATGTTCATCCCTATTGTATAGACTAGTTTGGTATTAATAATTAAAACTTACATATACTATCGTAGAGGAATGATCAGGTCCATCTAGAGGGACGGGAGGTGTCATCCATATAATGTGCAGTATGTTTCAAGAATTTATTTGAATGCGTTCCCAATCAAATTTTGAGCTGAAATTTTGTATGGATAAACTAGACTTGATTAGGAACATGCTCAAAAAATTTCATCAAAAAATTCCACCGGAAACCACCTCAAACAGTAAAGTTCGGACGGAGCCTCCCGTCCCTCTAGATGGACCTTAGCATTTCTGTACTATCTTATATTGTACGAGTATATATTCTCAAAATTGAGCAATAAGTTCTATTAAATCACAAAGAGCAGAACTTGACAAAAGTCAAAATTTCATCATTGAAACTTTAAGCTTGTATAGATGAGTGTAAATATTCATTGGGCACATAACTACATACTACGTATTACATCATACTACGTATAGAAATGCAAACGAATGAAAACGTAGGAGGGACCGTAATTCCAGCTAAATTTGGATGCAATTATACATTATTATTGTCATGTATGTGATTATTACTCGTATTGTATTTCCCAAACGATCCGAACATATCTCATTCTAAGCTAAGCTCTCTCTGCATCACTCACCTGCCTCCATGCATGCATCAATCCAAGCCACCTTAGCTTCCACTCCCATGCTACACTACACCATAGCTACCGGATCATGTTTCCATCTTCTCAACAAAATCCATCCAAATGATCACCTCCTCCGCTTCTCATCATCAGCGCCTCCCGCCACCGCCTCCCGGCCTCCTCCGCAGATCCGTCACGTGGCTCTTCCTCGCCCTCCTCTTGATCTACCTCTTCTACTCCGCCAAAGTCATTCTCATCAAAGACTACTACTCCTCATCCCCTCCATCTGACTGTGGCACCAACAACAACTATGATGATCATCTCCGCCGCCTCTCGGTTTCCTCTCCGCCTCCTCCTCCGCCTCCCCCGTCTCCTCCGCCTCCCCCTCAGCGTCCCTCGTTCCGCGACAACACTGAGCTCAAACACGTCGTGTTTGGGATTGCAGCGTCGTCGAACCTCTGGGAGAAGCGGAAGGAGTACATAAAGACGTGGTGGAGACCCGAGGAGACGCGAGGGGCGGTTTGGCTCGACAAGAAAGTCGAGGTCCAGAACAACGAGGTGTTGCCACAGATCAAGGTCTCTGGCGACACCTCGAAGTTCAACTACACCAACAGGCAGGGCGACAGGTCGGCGCTCCGGATATCGAGGGTGGTTTCGGAGACGCTGAGGTTGGGGATGGAAGACGTGAGGTGGTTGGTGATGGGAGACGACGACACGGTCTTCATCGTGGACAATGTGGTGAGGGTGCTGAACAAGTACGATCACAACCAGTTTTACTATATCGGTAGCTCGTCGGAGAGCCACGTTCAGAACATATTCTTCTCCTACGCCATGGCGTACGGCGGAGGCGGGTTCGCAATTAGTTATCCTTTGGCGAAGGAGCTCGAGAAAATGCAGGACCGGTGCATCTCGCGATATCCGGGGTTGTATGGCAGCGATGATCGGATTCATGCTTGCATGGCTGAGCTTGGAGTGCCCCTTACCAGAGAACCCGGATTTCATCAGGTAATAATACGGAGCAATATAGATTATGGAGTAGTAAAACGAAGAATGTCACTATTTGGAACTTGGAAGAAAAGTATTTGAATTCTGATTTTAGAAGTATTTCTATTGGAGGAATCTGCCTTGGGAAAAAAATTGCTCAACTTGTCAGAAGTGGGATTTGAACCCACGCCTTCTCACGAAGACCAGAACTTGAGTCTGGCGCCTTAGACCACTCGGCCACCCTGACAGTTTGTTTGGAAACAAAATTAGCTGGGTATTATTTAAAGTTAGAAAAATTTCTAAACAAAATAAAACCAACACACTTTTTCATAAGGAAACACTATTATTTGTTTCCTAAAATAGGATCCTATTAGCTCCTACAGAAATAATTTTGACTAACTTATGACCAAACAATTCATATGGAGTAATAATTTATAAATAAAAGTTAACAAGTCTTGTTTGTAGGAACTAGGAAATATCTTCATATTAGTGAAAAAATAGGGAGTAATTGCTTAAAATTCTATTTTAAAATTCAGATTTTATATTTTTTCAAGGTAAGTTGAAATTTATATTTAATGTTTTTTTACTGAATTTAAAGTTAAATTGAATATAAAATAGTAATATATGCTAAAAAGTGTACTTTTCATGAAAATAGTAAATTCATACCTCCCTAGAGATACAAAACTACTTTTGTTTTGGCCTAGGTATAGATGGTCTTGCTTTTTCAAAACTGAATAAGAGCACTTCTAAAAAAGGATTTGGTAGATTGGATAAATGGCCAATGGGCAACTAATCTTCAATACTTGTATGCAAGGGCTGTTTTGGCCTAGCTATCTAACTTCATTAACAATATGTTATTAGACAACTCTTTCATCCAATCGACAAATTTGGACGAAAGAGTTGTCTAATAACGGATTGATCTTGTGAAGTTTTTCATTTTCTATTTAGATTCTTGAATTGTGTGTTTCTTGGAGTCCTAAACTATTCTTATTGCTTCTTTCAAAAAACTATTCTTATTGCTTCAGTAATTGTCACTGTCCCACAAATAAATGTGGATACTTTACTTAAAATGCATTTAATTGATACAAATTATTATCTCGTCAATCGTTTGTATTTAAATTATTCAATTGTGTGTAATATCCTAATAAGCTCACGTGGATATCCTAATTAGAACTTACCCTAAAATTTGAACGTTGCAGTATGACGTGTACGGGAACTTACTAGGTCTACTAGGAGCACATCCAGTGGCCCCGCTTGTCTCGATCCACCACCTGGACGTGGTGGCACCCATCTTCCCAGACATGAGCCGAGTGGAGAGCTTGAAACGCCTCTTCGAGTCGGTCAAGCTTGACTCGGCCAGCATAATGCAACAGTCCATCTGCTACGACAAAGAGAGGTACTGGTCCATCTCCGTATCATGGGGCTACGTCATTCAGGTGATCCGGGGCATGGTTTCTCCCAGAGAGCTGGAAATGCCACCGCGGACCTTCCTGAACTGGTACAGAAGGGCGGACTACACGGCATACGCGTTCAACACCCGGCCGGTGACGAAGCACCCCTGCCAGAAGCCCTTCATTTACTATATCAGCAAAGTGAGGTTGGACAGGAGTAGGAATCAGATCATTGGGATTTACTATCGCCATAGAGAGGCATACCCTTATTGCAGGTGGAAGGCCGACTCCCCTCAGAATATTGACTCCATTGTCGTCTTGAAAGAGCCTGATAGCGCTAGATGGGAAAAGGTTAGTTACCTCCTCCTCATCTCCTATGAGTGTTGCATTTGTTTATATGGTGAAAAATGATTTATTTTATAGATTATTTCAAAAGTGTTTATAAACTTTTAAAAAAAAGTGTTTGAAAAAAAAAAGCAATTTTGAAAAAAGTAAAGAACGTTTGGTAAAATTGTTATTTTATGTGATTGAATGAATGCAAAATGTTTAAAGCACTTCTGTTACTTTCAGATTTTAATTTTAAAGTGCTTAATTTAATTAGAACATATATTTGAGAATAATGTGGTTAGCTTTTTTAAAGCTATAATCTATAAAAGAAATTTTTTAAACAACTGTGAACACCCTTTTTGTTGAGTATATAATTTTTTGTTTCAAATCTTATTGGCTTCGGATTTAGACTGCGATTTTATATAACTTTAAAAGCTCAATTAGTAACAGTAAGATTAGGTTAATTAGATGAATATGTTGAATTGTTTTGAAGTTCTGGTTGAAACGGTTAAATATGCTAAATCCAGTGACTTATGAAAAATATATGTAAAACATACTTCCTCCGTTCTTTTTTGGTTGCAACAGTCAACCTTTGCACATTTGCCAACACACACATTTGACCGTAAGTATGTCTTAATCTCTAATAATAAAAAAATATTAAAAATCAGATTTTGAAAATTTGTAATGAGATGAATTGAAAAATATTTTTTTTTAAAAATAATTTCCATAAAATAATAATGTAAAATGTAGTGAAAGTAGATCATGTGAACAGTGCAAAAAGTCAACATGTTGCAATTAAAAAAAGACAGGGGATAGTATTACACTAATAAAATAAATGAAAATATTAAAAAGGGTTAATATAGTCATTATTAACAAATCTGGTCAAAGATAAAACTTTAACCTTACTTATTTTAATTATTACACAATCGAGCGCATGAAATCATAAGTTAAGCGTTTGAAAAAAAACTAGTAAGATTGATAGGCTAAAAATGAGTTATCAAATTGTAGTTTATTGTGGTTTCTAAATAAGTATAGGAAGACTTAACTTTACCGTTAGTCACGTTAAAATCGCACTTTGCAAAAAAAAAACGATGAATGTGCTATTCATGATGAGGTGTGCATACATATAGTTTCCACCTCACCTTCTATTCAAATCAATGTTTAAGCCATTTTCAAAATCACTAATACTTAGAACCCATGCTCTTTAATAATTGGAATATATTGACTTTTACCATGTTCACATATGCTACTTTGATCATATTTAATTTATTTCTTCATATTACATTAAACAATCACAATATAAAATTATATTATTAATTTTTCTTTTCAGTAAACTTTTAAATTACAATATGATTATTTTGTATTTTTTAATAATAGATGATTGAAGTTGTTAATGGTCAAAGTCATGTTTTAGTAGACATGAAATTCAATGGTTTGCTACTAAAGAGAATGAAGGTTATACACCTAAAAAATACACATGGTTTTATAAAATTAAATTGTCCATAATAAGAGTAGAATATAATTAAGTTCATAAGTAGACCTACATATGTTTTGTTTGTAAAATGTGACTTACGTAAACATAATAAAAGAATAAAAATATCAAAATTATTCTTCAATAACTGAGTGAGTAGTATTTTTGGGAAAATAACGATAGCACCTTATTACAGAATTTGTGTTTTGATTTAATTATGTTCAGAAAAAATATGGTTTTCCCCTTCATTGGGATCCAGTTTGCACCTCAATATTAATATATATTTTTAAACTTTATGTGTAAAATATTGATGGTTTTTAAGTGAAAATCTGATCTATGAAAAAAGGGAGTCAAACTCCAATATCCCAGCATTATATCTTATAAGAAAAGTTGCATACACTAAAAATAGATTGAGCAACAAGTAATTTATATTACAAATGCATAACTTATAACCTTTGTTTTTATTGCATCACATATTTCTTGTCACATGTTGCATGTGTTTGTCAAGTACATTGTCTTTTGTTTCTCGCAGTCACGGAGAAGAGATTGTTGTAGAGTATTACCATCTCGACAGAACGCGAGAAATCTCTACTTATGGGTAGGGAGTTGCAAAGAAGGAGAAGTGAGTGAGTTTTAGAGGATATATGTGTATAATGCTGAGATCTCCATTCTCCATGCATGGCGACCTTAAATATATATCTCTCGATTAAGTATTAATTCGGCAATGGGGAAAAAGCTACATGGATTGGTGCAACATGAGACATGACAACATATGATGTCATTTTCAAGCTTGACACATATAGAAGGCTTATACAAAGCTGCAGTAGGACTAACATTGAGGACATGGACTAAATTAAATATGGGATCTAATCACTACATACATATCCATTGACATTTTTCATCGTGTGTTAAATACATCATATATTTCGTGTGTTGATTCTTATAGCAATTAGTGATCAAACAAAGCATTTTAATGATATAAATGTCTTGTGGAATATATATGGTCCATACTTGTCCAAAAGTTCTATGTTGTACTGGGTTTCAATTTATATATGTGGTCTATACTATAGAACATTTTAAATTTGCATGTTATAATAGCTATCATCATAATTAGAATTCCAAAAAATTGAATCTGTGGTGAAACATATATAACGTATTCATATAAACTTTAGTTATAAAACTTTTGCATGACTACTTACTACATTCTAATACGAGGTTTGGCATACCTATATAGAAATGGAACATCAAAACATCCTCAACATCTTATCTCTTTGGTAATGTTGTAATTTTATTATGTATTGTTTCACTTTTAATTAGCTTTATTGTTTATGGTTAGAGAAATTACACACTTTTGGTGTAATTAGTTTATTTTCCTAGATAGATGTAATTTGTTTAGATTGGGATTATTCTGAGCTTAAAAAAAGGTCAAGATCATCCAAAGGATCGAGATTGGACTCCAAAAGATCAAGGAAAGTGCGAGGATAAAATAAAAGTTTGAGAAAGACAAAACCCAAGGACACATTAAAAAAATGAAAATTAACTGGTCAAGTGAAATATATGCAGCCAAGTCTTTTGATATTCCATATATTTGCCCTGTAGCATGACAAAAATAGTTGTTTCCAGTGTCCCTGAATTTCAAATGTTCTGGTTCATGGTATCTTACTCCCGTACTATCACAAGGAAACTAAGATGTTAATATTAATTTATCATTTATGGGTTGTAATCATAAAATTATATAGTAAAAAAGCTTAAAAAGTTCTGAGGTTTGGTATATAGGAATAAATTTCCCTCTGAAACATCTTTTCCCTCACTACTCCCTCCTTCATTGCTCCCAGATATAAATAACCATATGACTCACTTGTGATATTAATTTTTCTGTGCCCCTATGGAAACAACATTTTAACTCAATAAGACTTATATTACCTCTAGACTCAAATTGAGAGATAACCACACTACCACATGTATATATAAAGTGGCATTTTGGTCTTTGTATTTAATATTCTCATACTTAACCAATTAGCGGACAGCCAGGGAATTAGAATTTGCAGTAATTTCATTCAAACCAACCAAACAGAAGTATCTTGATTGCAGGAGGCTTGGCCCAACTAGAGGGAAAAATATGCTTCCAGAAATCAAAGGAATCGCAATGAGATATTAGGATCAATTTCATGGATGAACTTCCTCGTGTGGTTGGTGAAAAAAGCAAACACGTTCTTTTGTGATTGTAGTAAATGGGTGAAAGAGTTTTATCCCCTGGATTCTATGTAAGTCATATTTACTCAGTTTTTTGGGGTATCGCGTGCCATTTGCACTTATAAAAAATTATGTTTCATGATCTCACTTCCTTTCTTATGAGAAATTAGGCTAAAATGGACCGTGTTGCACAAGAAAGGCTAGATACCAAGATTAAGGTGATCATTTGAGGTTTAATTTATAAGACATAAAAGTTTGACTAATATATTGTGAATGGATTTCTAATTTTCATAATGAATTAAAGTTTGATGTAGTTAAAGCTCTGAGACTTCAATGTTCTACGTTATATGAAATTGGAGATTTAGACTAAAGGAGAGTCGATGTAGAGGCAAATCAAAGGAAGAAGTATGCATCTATGAGAAGAACTGGCAATATTGGCCGTGAGCAATGGGAATGACTAGTTTATGAGCGCAAATTATACCATGGGATCGGCCCACAGTGCAGATGGTGTGCCGATCCCAAAACGGTGCCATTTTGGTTAGTAAAAATCAGTCATCTTCTTCCGACTTGAATGGCCACGACCGGTTCTTGAGCTCCTCCCCATACTGAAAAATCTCAGGCTCAACATTGGAGCACACTGATGCTCTTTTCATGGCGTCCATGTACTTCAATATGAAAGCCAGAGCTAGCATCAGTACCCACTCTAGACCGACGTTGAGAGCAGAGAACCCATTAAATGGCCTCAGAATAATAGCACTGTCATCCCCCCTAATGTATGACTTGAGTTTCCAAGGAAGCTGAACTCGGGGCTCCTAAAGTTGGGATTGGATTTCGGGGATAGTCATCCATGGAAAAGTTCCTACATGGGATTCAAATTGGGATCAAGTTTCTGCGGGGGATTGGGTTTCTACAGGGTATAGCCATCCATAAGTTACTGCAGGGGATTGAGATTGGGATTGGGTTTCTGCAAGGGATTGGGTTTCTACAGGGTAGCCATCCATGTAAATTCTCCGTAGTTACATTTTCTTATCATAGAAAAGTTGCATTTTGTATTAAAATGATTTACATTGTCATTTATCTCAAGTTACATATCTATTAAAGTGAGTTACATGTCAACTTTCCTCTGTAAGTTACATCTTGCTTACACGGTTTTTACATTTTCCATAATGCGAGTTATACCACAATATAATGCGGGTTACACAACACAATAAGCCCAGTCCTTGCTTTCAAAAAAAATTATATAAAAAAACATTTTTATAGCCCTGATATATTAAAAACAAAACATATACACTATTTATGTTAAACAATTGGGCAAATAGACTCCTTTTTTCATTATTTACATTGAAATCAATGTTTTATTTCTTATACTATGTATTGGACAAGTTACATTTCGACTGGACTTGTATTATATTGATCAATAACGTGAGTTACATTTCTTTACACGCAAGTTACATCATTATGCTACTGGGACAAGGGAGAAAAATCTCTACACACATGTACTGTTCACGTGTGAAGATTTTTAATTTTAAAAAGCGCAAAATTATGTCTCCTTGGGTGCAGGAGACAGAGCTCATCGTGGGACGATCCCGCAATATACGAACAAGTTTATGAGTATTGGGGCAGTGAGAAACAATGGGTAATGTGGTATTGTGCGTTATATATTTGATTATTTGGTTGATATAAAAATAATTATCAATATGTGATTGGACCATTTTAATTTGCATATGAATTTGCATCACATCAGCAAAGTTGACACAAATAATAAGTTACACCAAAGTGTCAAACAGGCCGAGGTGCATATCGGTACGTGTGAGTGATGAAAGGATCCCCATACGTCTTCTCGTCGAGGGGGTGACAAGTGTCACACATTGAGTGGCTGGGAGTTTGGCGGACGCCTCGATTATATTGAGAGCATCTAGACAGGTGCCATTGTGAACACCATTCAACAATCAATCATTACTTCTCTATGTATACTCCTACGAGTTTTCAATTGAAACTTTACCCTTTCTTGAGTTGAGATGAGGTGTTACCCAATTCTATAGAGAGAAACCCCCTTTATTTTTTTCCATTTGTTCACATGTCAATTCTTAAGAAAGGGGGACGGGGTGGGGGTACATTAAGGTCATATAAAAGACGTCAGAGGACTTCATTAGTCGATTCTGATGAGGACAAGGGATTTGAGGAAGAGGTGATGATTCGAGGGAAAGGGAAATGTGTACGTTGAGTAGGGTTCCATGTCTTTCCCCCATTTTTGCCATGTGCAGTGCCAAGGTGCACGTTGTTGTTTGACTGCTTCAGGGGCCTGTGTGAAGTCGAAGAAGGTGATGAATAGAAGACCCGAGACTATTTTTAGAAGATCGATGAATTGCTAGATCTTTTTTATGTTTTTTAAAGATTAAAAAACATAGAAAAATGTGTCATCCATCAACTTGCCGGATGCCAATCAAAGAAGATAAAATAGAAATATGAAATTATCTTCAATGACTATTATTAGAATATGAGTGAAAAGTGGGACGTTAGTTCCGATTTGCCCTTACTTTAAAGATTTTTTAAAATATTATTGAAGTAAAACTTATTTACAAAAATATGAGTAGAATTAGTATGCGTATAATGCAATGGTCACCTAAGTTTAAAGATTGAACACGGAGTATTATGATGAGTCTTGGAATTGATTTTGCTTCTACTTCTTTATTAAAAAACAGAAGCAGAATAGTTTTTAATAAGCTGGTCTCTCTCGGCTGCTATGAAACTGATTCTAGGAGCAATTTAGAGCACACCAAAACACTTTTACACTTTTACCCAAACACTCCAATATCTGCTTCTGCTCATTGAAAAAGCAGAAACAATTTCAGAAGTAGATCTAAACATCCTCCACAACTAAAATTTTATGATGACCACTACACTTACAATGTCACATTTTTTATATAGTAATTATTTTAGTTATAAGCATCTAATTATTTTATATTTTAATTATGTTTTACCGTTAGGATTTACTACCTCCGTCCCACTATGTTTGGGACAAAGGAGTGTGACATAACTTTTAAGAAAAAGTGGAATTGTATTATTGTTATTGAATTGATAAAATATGAATAAAGTAATCATCCAAATATTACCAAATATGGTATGTTACAAACTTAATGAGATAAGATGAATGAAAAAGGTAAAATGAGACAAAATTAGGGAGACAGATGGAGTAGGAAGTATGTAGATGGGTGATGGACTCATGAGATAGAGTATCTGAATTTTGAAAGAGTCCTGCTTGGGGTACCCCAATTTGTACCCCAATCTGTACACTGTCTGTGTACACAGACATTTGGACAGAAAGTTCTGTCCTCTTTCAAACAAATTGTCTGTGTACACATGCAATTCAGGAGGTGTGTACAAAATGAGATACATTTTGGGGGTACCTATAGAATTTTTGATTTTGAAATACGTTCTGCGCGGCCATGGGACATGAATTTAGGGGCAAGATGGGAACATGCAAAACAATAGGAGAGGCCGAATTTTTGGAGGGGAAAGGAGGTAAATTTCGAACCCAAAATTTTAAAAGAAACACATATTGATCAACGGTGCCACGTAGATGATCCTCGAGACACTTGTTAGCTTATGCCAACCCTCCGATCCATTTAATCAACGGTCCGTAATATCTTTCACACCCCAACGCGGATCGATCTCCATTTTCCCATCACTATAATAAGCCATACACACCACCCCCATCGGATATCTATTTCTAGTTCGCGTTCGCCATTGTCGCTCTTCTTCGAAGCTTTTCACTTCTCCATATTCGAGGTACTACTTCTTATCAAAGCTGCAGTAATCACTGTAATGAGTATTTACAGTCCTTTAGTATTCACACATATAACATAAGAAATCATCTCATCATTGAATCTAGGGTTAGTTTTCGGAATTTGCGAAATTTCTAATAGCTAGGTTATCAATCGGTTTCATCACCGAGTCGATTTAGCTAATTCTGTTCATCTGTTTAATTGCAGAGATCTAATTCAACTGCCGATCGAAAATGTCCGGTCGAGGAAAGGGCGGCAAGGGGTTGGGAAAGGGAGGAGCCAAGCGTCACAGGAAGGTTCTCCGCGACAACATCCAAGGTATTACGAAGCCAGCTATCCGCAGGCTTGCTCGTCGTGGCGGAGTGAAGCGTATTTCGGGGCTGATCTATGAAGAAACGCGTGGAGTTCTCAAGATCTTTCTGGAGAATGTGATCAGAGATGCCGTCACCTACACTGAGCATGCGCGCAGGAAGACGGTTACTGCCATGGATGTGGTGTATGCTTTGAAGAGGCAGGGAAGGACCCTGTACGGTTTTGGTGGTTAGATAATCAGAATTCAGATTGCCAAGAAGTTATTCAGTGTTGTGTTCTTGTAATTACAGTGAATGGGGATTTGGGAGGTGGGTTTGGGTTGTTCTAGTCATTACAACCCAGTTTGGGTCAGTCTGAAACTTGTTCTTTTAAATGGTAATCACAATTAAGGTTCTTATTATGTTCTGAAAGTTGTGTATTCAGCTTCATTACTTTTTAAGATTTGAAGCCTGAATTTGCTGGCTGAGGTCGGAGATGTATGAGTATTGTCCAGAAACTTTCATCCTACCAAACCAATCAGTAAATGAACTTTTCAAGTTTGGCTCAAACACGGGTCAGTCATCCGGAACAAACTGAGGTTTAACATCACTACAAGTTGGAATCAAACATTCATCACTGGCAAAAGTGTTCGTTTAAACGGTGTTCTTATCCCAGATGAAAAACAGTCGCATAGCAATGCGTACAATTATACTCCGTCCCAATTTAGACTTAGACCTTTTGGGCCTAGACCTTTTGGGCTTCACTCCTTTAATTTGAGAGAGTCAACACACCCTTCAAATATAGTCTCTCTATTCCCTTCTCCATTTTTACTTCCCCATATACTCAACCACTACAAGGAATTAGGAGTCCAAAAATTCCACTTTTAGCATTTTGGACTCCTCATTCTACAAGGCTACAATACTCCAAAAGGTCTAAGTCTACTAAAAATACTCCAAAAGGTCTAAGTCCCAATTTGATGATCCCATTTCTTTTAAGGAGGTGTTTGAAAAGGTAAAATTTGTGGTTAAGATTTGAGTAAAAAAGGTGAAATGATGTGGACCACATATTTCTTTCAAAAAGGGAAATGAGACTATTAATTTGGGACGGCCCAGAAAGAAAATATGGGATCATCAAATTGGGACGGAGGGAGTAACACATACTCCTATGGTTCGTTAAAATGTATTTTAAGTTTGCTGTCTACTTAACGCTCTCTCACAGTCTCACTTACAATGTAATAGGAGTACGGGTCAAAGGTAGTGCAAAATTTCTAAAATCTCATGTGATAAAATGTGACAATTATTAATTAAAATGTTTTTATGTAGTGGTATAAAATTAATAAAATAAAAGTAAAATATGAATGATTTAGACTGACACATACGTCTCATAGAAAATGTACATTTGAGAAAATGTACATTTGAATATGGACCGTACAATATTCTTTCCGTTCCATAAAATTCTTCAAATTTTCTTTTTGGGACTTTTTCTTTTTTGGGACGTACCAAAAACTTCTTCTCACTTACTACATATTATTTTTGGATAATTTGTGTGGCAAACATTAATTTTACTTTTTTTGACACAACTAAAATCACACATTTCCACTTTACTTTCGCTTCCTTAGTTTGCACTTTGCGATCCAAATCAATGCGGGAAGTAATTACTGGGACGGCAAGAGTATTTCATGTGATGTTATAAACTACTTATAAATGCTTATCAGTCATAAAATTATTTTTTGTAAGAGATGACCCCTTTTTAGTGGTTGAAAAGGTGTAATTTTGGTAACATTTTTCATTTTCCTAGTCCTAGTTAAACAAATTATATTTTGTTTTATACAAGTTGTACTTCTCGTATTATTTTCTTTTTCTTTTTCTCGAAAAATAGATCTCTTATAGGTAGATGTCAAAATAGGTCAAATACAC